TTGGTAATATGCTGATAAAATGTTTAAAAATGTGAACTATTTTTTAGGTATCTTAATAACTGAGGACATAAATCCTGAATTGTGGTTTCTATATAACATACGATTAGTAGGTTCAAATTATGGCTTATCACTTACAGATTATAAACTTGAATATATTTCTGGAAAAAAAAAAACAACACCACATACATGCATGTATGTTTCTGAGTAAGTTTATAAAATATGTTTCCCTCCAGTTTTCAAGTAGCCTTAGTGCTAGTTTGTCTCTCCTTTCTCCTCCACCATCTTTCTTCCCCCTCCCCCAATTTTTAATACCTGCTTTGTAGCACCTGTCTTCTGTTGGCCCCCTCTCTAGATCTCCTCCCCATTCCCTCCCACCTCTGCACCTCTCTCGCCATCTCCCCACCTCTCTCCTATCTCCTTGTGGTTCCTTTTTACTTTCCTGGAGTCTTCAAATACAGGCGATGAACTCGAATCTGAAAGACCTGGAGGTAGTATCCCCAAGAAAGAACACATGGCGTTTGCCCTGCTGGGTCTGGATCACCTCACTCGGTATATTTTTCTAGTGCCATTCATTTTACTGCAAATTTTCCTTTTCCTTTCTTTCTTCTACTTTTTTTTTTTTTTTGAGACAGGGTCTTATGTAGCTCTGGCTATTTTAGAACTCACTATGTCTCAGACTCATAGAGATCCTCCTGCCTCTGCCTTTCCGGTGCTGGGATTAAAGGTGTGTGCCAGAAGCTTTTGGTCAAGGTCTTTATCACAGCCATGGAAACCAGAGTTCCCACCACAGACTACACGCCTCTGGAACTGAGAGCCGAAAGAACGAATTCTCCTGCATGCTTTTGTCAGGGTGCTCATTACAGCAACTGAAGAAGAAACATCTCGCCATTTTTTTTTTCATTCTACAGTTCTGTTTAAATCCTAAAATTTATTGCAAAGTCATATTCATATATGATTCATCATATGATTCTCACAGTAACCGTAAGTGTAAAAACGAGCAGTTTTGTTCATTTACCCAGGCTCAAATTGGTAAAGGCCAAGCATTTTGTAAGAGCTAAGACTTCAAGGCAAGTCTTCTGGGTCTCAGTTTGGGGCTTTTTATCATGTCATACTTTAGGCATAAGAAAACCTGAAGTGAAGGTGTTTCTCTGCCTTCCCCAGGGCTCCTTACCCAGTCTGGGCTTCCTGCCTTCCACACCCTTGCTGCCGCCTCTGCACTGCATTCTTTTCTGGAAGAGGTGTTTTTTCCCCCTTTCCTGAGGAGCATAACCTTTAGTTCAGGGCGTATAGTGATTCAGTTTCCTGATGGAAGAATTTGTGAGTTACTGGTTTTAAAACGTGTGTGTGTGTGTGTGTGTGTGTGTGTGTGTGTGTTCTCTCGCATGTACACGTACCTTGGTGCCCATGTGGACACCTAAGGACAACTTGTATGAGTCCGTTCTTTCCTTCCGCTGAGCCATCTCAGGGATGGCCCTGCGGTTTCTAAAGACTGGATTCTCCTTGGTCAACCCAGGCTCAGGTTGCAGCAGCAGGCTCACCTCTCCTGGAATGTTACTTTTACCCTCTTTGACTTGATTAACTTGATGTGCAGGTCGCTTTCTGTACGCTGTGCACTAGGTGTGTTTGAATACTGTATTCCCACCCCTTTCTTCTGGGAAGACTTTTGTTTATTCTAACTGGAGCTTATTGATTCTCCTTATTCTGGATCTTGTAGACGGTTAGGAAAAGACCTTACAGAGATATTCTGGAACTGAACTTGTAAAATCGGTACCCACAGAAAAATGCTCCAAGAGCATAGAATGCTCTGGTTTTCTGCTCTGCTTATTTCTTAGGTTACTTGGGGAAAAGCAAAAACAATTGTAGGTTAAAAAAAATCTCTGTGCAGGGAGATAGAGGCAGGCAGATCTCTGTGAGTTCAAGGCCAGACTGGTCTACAAAGTTCCAGGACAGACAAGGCTACACAGAGAAACCCTGTCTCGAAAAACCAAAAGGGCCAAAAAAAAAAAAAAAAAAAAAAAAAAAACTTTTTATAAGTAGTTCAGCTGGACTGTCTAAATATACAGTGTGGAACATATTCTTTTTTCATAGACCACGGCTTAAGCTAGGTTGGACAATATAAGCTGAGTCCCAGAGGACTTATAGCTAAGTAGAGATTTTCACCACAAAGAATTTGCTGTAGAAGGGTTTCTCCAGTAAACACAGAACTCTTCCAGCTAATGCCAGGCTGATTTGGGTTGGACAGAGGGAGCAGGAAAACACTGTGGACGTAGTCTGCTAGCGAGGAGTCAGAGCAGAGGAAGGAAAATACAGGCAAAGTTCTGTGTGAAATGTGAGTGAGTCACAGTGGAAAGAGGAATAAAATAACTTGTCTCATCCTGGGCTGGGAGGAGCTCTTCTTGGGGCTTGCTCTTCTTTAAAAAAATAAAAAATAAAAAAAATTATATGTATATGTGTGTGCCTACATGTATGTATGTTCACTGCATGCGGACAGGTGTCCTCAAAGACAGAAAAGGGCGATGGCATCCCTAAAACTGGAGTTAAAGGTGGTTGTGAGCTGCCCTGTGCTGAGACTTGAACCCCGGTCCTCTGCAATGGCTGCGCCCGCTTTCACTCTGGGGCCGTCTCTCTAACTCCTAGGCCGTTTCTTTCAGCTGTGCCTGCTTCCTTTGGCTCTTTCTGAAGCATTTTCAGATTAAAAGGAAGCTTCCTTCAGGTAAACTCCCTTCTCTCAAGAAAGAAAGAAAGAAAGAGGAGGGGGGATTGCTTAAGAGATCTGTTCTGTGTTTGTTTGTTCTTAAAGAACCTGGGTCAGAAATTCAATGTATTGGAGATAGCTTGTAGAGCCAAAAGCTGGGGAATGAGTCAGATCCACTGTTCCTTCTTCTGGCGCCCCCTCGCATATTAAAATGAATTTTTTGGGGGGTGGTTTTTTGTTTTGTTTTGTTTTAGGTACAAGGTCTCCCTGCACCCCCCCTGGATGGCTTATAACCCACTATGTAAACCAGGATGGTCTCAAACTCACAGAAATCCTCCTGCCTCTGCCTCCCAAGTGCTGGGATTACAGCCATGTGCCATTATGCCCGGCCTAAATCCTAAACTGAATTTTGGTTTGTTTGTTTGTTTGTTTGTTTGTTTGTTGTTTGTTCGAGACAGGGTTTCTCTGTGCAGCCTTGGCTGTCCTGGACTCACCTTGTAGACCAGGCTGGCCTTCAACTCACAGAGATTGAGTTGCCTCTGCCTCCATGAGTGCTGGGACTACAGGCGCGCGCCAACACTTCCCTTTTTATAAAATTTACCTTGCCTACAAGATGTGCAGGGATAAAGACAGTGCAGAGCTTGAGGGAATAGCCAACCAGTGCCCGGCCCAACCCGTGGGAGACAGTTAATCCCTGACGCTGTTAACCACACTCCTGCTGTGTCTGCAGACCCCAGCCTAGCAGAGCCGGCCTGAGGCCTCCACCTAGCAACAGATCAAAACAGACCGCGGAGACTCACAGTGGATGGGAGCAGGGAGCCCTGTGGAAGGGTTGGGGGAAGAACGGAAAGACCTGGAGGGGACAGGAGCACCACAAGAAGACCAGCAGAGCTAACTAACCAGCGCCCCGGGCGGGGGGGGGGGGGCTTGCGGAGATTGAAGCACTAACCAAGGACCATGCATGGACTGGACCTGGGACCCACACACAGATGTAGCCTATGGGCAGCTTGGTTTTCATGTGGGTTCCCTAGTAAAGGGAGCTGGGGAGTCTCTGGCAAGGGCTCAGTTGCTTGCTTTTCGATCACTTCCCCCTGGTTGGGCTGCCTTGCCAGGGGATGCACTCAGTCCTGATGTGACTTGATGTGTTTGGTGGGTTAGAGGCTCCCCTTTTCTGAGGGGTAGAGGCAGACACCCTCAGAAGGGTAGGGGGATAGAAGAGGGAGGGAGGATGGGACTGGAGGAGAGGAGAGCTACCATTAGGATGTAAATTGATTAAATAAATAATATTTTTTTAAAAAAAGCTTATCATGTCTCTGTTTCAAATATGTAACTTTTCTTCCTTCAAACTTTGCTCCATACGATGAGCCCGCTCTACTGGCACCACACTACAACTTGAAAAATGTTCTATTGAATAAGATCTGCTAAGAGGAATGATGAACACCACCCAGGCCAGGATAAAGAAAGCTTCGCTTTACTTTTGGCAGTGTTACCACGTTCTTTTCCAGGAAGTCAGAAAAGTATCTGTTATTGATAATAGCCTCGTATCGGCTTTTCCAGAATTTTTTAGATGCAAGGTAAAAAAAAACAGAAACAAAAACTGGGGCTTGGGCAAGTTAGGACATAGTTTCCTATAGCCCAGGTTTGCTTTGAACTTGTAGTGGGTGATAACCTTGAATTTTCTTGCTCCTCCTTCCACTCTCAAGTGCTGGGATTACAGGCAAATACCACTACAACTTGGCTGGAAAGTAAATTTTCTAATTTAAGTTAATAAAAAAGCCAAGAGTTAAAAAAAAAAAAGTAAATTCTAAAATATCTGTTTTAAGTAAATCTATATATTGAGAAAATTTTCAATAAATTAAAATTTATCTTTGCAGAACTACTCTGTCAGGCAAACCTTTTCTTTTGTTGAGGTATAGGTACAAGAACAACTTCAAGATTTAAAAAAATTGTTCACAGTCGAAGTTTTAAAGCTAAGAACTTATGCAAGGCGTTAAGAGCCCGATAAAGAAAATGGTGTGCCAGGCCTGCAATCCCAGTGCCTGGAGACAGGAGAATGACATGAACTCGTCAACCTGTTAATTGAGAAATTCTAGAAAATATAAGAAAACGTAATTCACCGTTCATCTTCAGGTCTCCTGAGAACGCCTCTCTTCCTGGCGGACTCGTGCGCCCCCCGGCGGTTCCTCTCGGAACTTCATCCTGCTCGCGCTGTCCGGACGCGAATAAAGCTTTCTTTTTCAAAACGCCGGAAGTGACTACGGAGGCCGCGAGGCTCAGCGTGAAGGCGCCGCGACGGGAAGCAGAGATGAGCGACATGGTGGAGAGGACGCTGACAGCCCTGCCGGGGCTCTTCCTGCAGAACCAGCTGGGAGGGCCTGCCGCCTCCAGAGCACCCTTCTTCTCCAGGCTGGGCGGCCTCATCCGCGGCGTCACTGCCCTCTCGTCCAAGCACGTACGTGGCGGGGTCGGCCGGGCGGGGTGGGGTGGCCCGGCCGGAGGCGTCGGTCGGCGGAGTGGACGCGGCCCAGCGTCCGCCTCGAGCTCGGGTTCGCTGCCTGCAGCGACCTCAGGGAGGCCGGCTTTCTGATGTGGAGGCCCGAGGACCCTCCGTGTGCTTTAAACTGGTGCGTCTCATGGGGTGCTTTGAGAATTACAGGAGCTGTCAGTCGAGTGGAAATAGCCAGTGCGCTGTAAGCCCGGAGCTATAGTCTCCTACGAAGTTTCTCTTCCCTATTGAGTTTTAATTTGGTTCCTTCTGCTTGGAGGCATCACATACGCCCACAGACAACCGTCACTCCCGCCCCTTAACAGGGCTTGTTACCTTTGCAGAGCTTGAGGTTCTTAGGCTAGACCAACGGGTTAGGCAGAGACCGGCTTTGAAAACGAGTAGTTGAAATAGAAGTTATTAAGTTCCCACGGATTGCGTATAGCACTGATTCAAAGCCTCAAGGGGCGTATGTCTTAAAAACATAATATTATGTTATAATTTCTTCAGCAAATACTTGTCAACTGCACTCATGCGGAGCAGTATAGTAAAACACTTTCTATCAAAGAATCGATCATTAATTTTTGGGCTTAACATAAGTGTGAGTGACTACAGTGCAACGTAAATGCCAGCAGAGAGGAGAAAGAGAAACAGGACGCCTTCAAAGGTTTAAAACGTGCTTGCGTTTTAACTGTAATCTGTTTTGCTGTGTTGGACAGGGCGTGCTGCACATCCCACAATCATTGTGTTCTTAACATATCTTCATGGTTTTCTTTTGCTAATTTTGTAATTTTTGCCAAGCAAAAAATCTTTTATGTGTACATGTATATACAGTGTGTGTTGGTATGTAAGGGTCCATGTACCATGGCACATATATAGGGTTCAGAGGGCAACTTAGGACAACTTCGTCCTCAGCTTCCACCTTGTCTGAGGGAAGAGCTTGCTGTTTGCTGCTGTGCTGTACACTCCAGGCAGGCTAGCCCGGGAGCTTCTGGGGGAGGGAATGTTCTGTCTCCCGTCTCAGGAGAGGAACGCAGGGATTATAGGTATACTTCGCCACATTTTAAAAGCTTATTTATCTGTGTATGTATTTTATGTATATGCATGCTCTCTTTCTGTGTCTGCCTGCGTGACCAGAAGAGGGCATCAGATCCCAGTATAGATGGTTGTGAGCCAGAATGTGGGGCTGGGAATTGAACTCAGGGTCTCCGGAAGAGCAGCCAGTGCTCTTAGTCACTAAGCCGACTCTGCAGCCCACAACTGGCTTTTTATATGATGGATTCGGAGCCTTAGGGGTGTGGAGCAAGTGCTTTTACACATTGAGCCATCTGCCCCTTTAAGAATGTGTGTGTGTGTGTGTGTGTATATATATATATATTTTTTTTTTTAATTTTTTTTTGGCTTAGCTTGGAGTTTGAAAGTGCATAGGCAGTCAAATGTGGCGGTTTTCGTTTTGTTTTTAGATTTGTTTTGTTTTAAATTATATGTGTGTTTATGGGTATATGTGCAGATACCGTCAGAGTCCAGAAGAGAGTGTCCATTCCCCTGGAGCTGGAGTTTTAGGCAGCTGTGGGCCACCAGGGAAGGTTCTAGGAGCCAAACTGGTCCTCTGCATGAGCACTGTGTAGCCATATCTGCTGCATCATTTCTGCAGCCCTCACTAGTAGTTCTTAAATAGCCACTTAGCATCAGTAACTTGGTGTGTGACTTAAAGATAGCATTTTATTAGCCAATAGTTGGGCCAATGTTTAAGTGCTTAGTGAGGTCAAATACAAGGCACACATTGGATTTGGCCACATTGGGCTGCATGTGCAGGAGAAAAATTAAGAAGGTAGGGATGAAAAGAAATGATAGGAAGGAAGAAGGTTAGGTAAAAAGGACTGTTTCTGTCTTATTCCTGTGTTCCATGAAGACTTTTTATTTTATTCCATGAAAACTTTTTGTTCCTTAGGGAAGCTGTAGCACTCATCCCAGATCTACAAACTTCTTTTTACTTTCTCTCCTTTTTTTTGTTTTGTTTTTTTTTTTTTTTTTTTGAGACAAGGTCTTACTGTGTAGCCCTGGTTGGCCTGGAGCTTCCTATATAGACTTGCTGGCCTTGAACTCAGAGTGCTGAGACTAAAACTGCATACCACCTTCCCAGCTATTTTAAATTCTGTTTATTTTAGTGTTTTTTCGAGACAGGGTTTATCTGTGTAGCCCTGGCTGTCTTGGAACTGGCTCTGTGGATTAGGCTGGCCTTGAACTCACAAAGATATGCCTGTCTCCGCCTTCCTCGAGCTGGTATTAAAGGCATGCACCACCACTGCCCAGATGCTATTTTGAGTTTTTAAAACTCACATGTATTTATTTTGTGTGTGGTGGGATTGTGTATGTATGACATGGCATTTATGTGCTGGATTTAGTTTTTGTTTTTTTATCATGTGGGTTCCAGGGATTGAACTCAGGTCATCAGGTTTGACAGCATGTACCTCTACCCACTGAGCAATCCTACCACCCCCGTTTTGAAATTAAAAAAATTTTTTTTTTCTGCCAATCTTTACTAGCAATGAAATGAAGAGGAATAATAAGTTATCCTGGAAATAATCATTCTTTCCAAGGAGGGAATGTAACTTTTAAAACAGTGTTATTTCATTTTAATTGGAATTACTGTCATTCTATTTTTTCAGGAAGAAGAGAAATTAATCCAGCAGGAACTGAGTAGTCTGAAGGCAACTGTTTCTGCTCCTACTACAACACTGGTATGTTTCACAGTTCAACACACGTGCATTTAAAGCCTGCTTCCATATAGTATGATTTTTCAAACAGCATTCACTCTGTGCTGGCCACTGTGAGGCTGTTTGCAAGTCTTGAGATGAGGACTCAGGTTTTTGTTGTTATAGGGTTTTGTTTTGTTTTGTTTTGTTTTTGACATGTACTAACTATATCCTTATGGGGAACATTATAACAATTCAACACAAAATGTACACAATGTATATTGCTACTTAACATTTATTCCATTTGAAACGTTTAGTGTGATTACAGTAGTGCACACCTGTAATCCCAGCACTCAGGGAGGCAGAAGCAGGCAGATCGCTGTGATTCAAGGCCAGCCTGGTATACAGAGGGAGTCTAGGATAGCTAAGGCTGCACAGAGAAACCTTTTAGTATATGTAGGTGTGTAAGCCTGTGTGTGTGCATGCCGTAGCATGTGTGTGGAAATACAAAGACAAGTTGTGGGAGTTGGTTCTCTCTATTACCTATGTCTATGGGATTGAACTCAGGTCATCAGGTTTGGTAGCAAGAACCTTGACTCACTGAGCCATCTTGCTGGCCGCACACTTTTTTAAAATGAGGTTTCTTTTACAACTAACATTTGTTCATCAAATATTTAGTGGATTTCTTAAATCCTAATTATCTTATATATTCTTATGTATTTATTTTTGAGACGGGGTCTTGTTGTGTAGCCCTGGCTGTCCTAGAACTTGCAATGTAGACAAGGCTGGCTTTGAACTCATAGGGATCCACTTGTCATCTCCTCTGGAGTGCTGGGATCCAAGGTGTGTACCACAAAGTTCTTTTTGTGTGTAAGTCATGGAAAGGTTTATCTACCTAGTAAATATCAAGGTGATAATTTTGCATAACTGCATGGTGATGAATATGAATATGCAAAATCCAAGAGAAGGTAATTGTTTCTTTTTGTAGTCATAATATTCAGGGACATAAAATTCAGGATATTAGTCTTGTATCTTTATATGTATATATGTGTGCATCTTTGTATGTAGATCTGTGTGCATGTTTTGTGTATACTTAATAGAAATGTTAAGCAGAGATAGTTGTTTTTGTTAGGTTTTCTTAAATTTTAAATTTTATTTTATGTACATTGGAGTGAAGGTATCAGATCCCTTGGAACTGGAGTTACAGACAGTTATGAGCTGCCGTGTGGGTCCTGGGAATTGAACCTGGGTCCTTTGGAAGAGCAGACAGTGCTCTTAACCACTGAGCCATCTCTCCAGCACACTTTGTTAGGTTTTCTTTTTCTTTTCTTTTTTTATTAAGATTTATTATGTATACAGTGTTCTGTCTGCATGTACACCTGCAGGCCAGAAGAGGGCATCAGATCACATTATAGGTGGTTGTGAGCCACCATGTGGTTGCTGGGAATTGAACTCAGGACCTCTAGAAGAGCAAGCAGTGCTTTTTACCTCTGAGCCATCTCTCCAGTCCCAGATTTTCATTTCTGTAATGTATATCATTGAACACAATTTTTTACTACAAGGTATAAACCTGGCATTAGGTAAAACTGATCACTAGATACTTATAGTTTAGCAGGAAGATTATATAACTATAGCCATCCACACAGGTCTGGGCATACCTCTTAGAGTCTGTTTCTAAGGTATTACAGAGCTGGGACAACTAGAGGGAAGTTGTAAAGCAAAGCCCCACATTTGGAATATACTTTCTTCTTTAAATAAAGGAACAATAACTTATGTAATAATTTTACTTAGGTAAAACCCTGAGCTCATGATACAAATCCAGGGTTGAAACTTAATGGCATAAATTAATACTTTTATTCCTAATTTATGTAAAAGCCTTTGTAGACTCCACTATGGTTTAATTAAAAACAATTAGGCACACTAACAAATGTTAAAACAAACTTAGTAGTCCTAATTAATATGTTAATAAATAACTCTTACTACTTTAAACACAAATGATTTGAACTAAACTGCATTTTCCTAAGATTCACAAACACACACATATACAACTAAATAACACACACACACGACTAAATAATACTGTCTTGCTTTAAGTTTTTGTTATTTTATTTTTGTGATAAAGTCTCATATAACCCAGGCTGCCCCCTGACTCTGTGTAGCTTTGGATGCGCCTGTTTTGAACTCCAAGCACTGGGATTATAGACATACACTATCACATCCTATTTGGTTAAAATAGTTTAATGTGTTCTAAGCCTTTTATTATCTAATAACCTGCTAACAGTTAACGTTAATACACACACACAGACAGGTCTCATCGTGTAGCCCAAGTTGGCCTCTAGCTCATAGAAACCCACCTGCCTCTGCCAACCAAGTGCTGGGGTTAAACATCCAGCTATATTTAAAAAAAAAAATTAAAACTTACTATACGTAGCTGAAGTTGACCTCATCTTCTTGCTTCTATGTCCTGATGCTGGGATTACAGATAGTTGAATTTTGTATTCAACATTGAATTTTGTATTTTTTTTCCTTTTTATAATCCTGGGATTGAACTCGGAACTGGACGTGCACTGTTACTGCCAGGTTTTAATATTAGATATTAAAATCATCTGAACTTTTTTCAGTTTTGAAACCATTATGTTTTTATTCCTAATAAAGCTTTGATATAAATAATGATAATGTAAATGACATTCTGGTAAAACATATTCATAGAATCAAAGAACTTTAGATTGTAAAATCCACCATGTTCATAACATTATGCCTCTTAGTTCACAATATGTGAGTTATTTAAGAAGAGAAAAAACTGGGCACGGTGGCGTGCACCTGTGATCCCAACACTCTAGAGACGCAGAGGCAGGTGGATCTCTGTGAGTTTGAGGCCAGTCCTGGTTTGAGTCCAGGACAGCCAAGGCAAAACCTTGTCCCAAAAACGATAGATAGATAGATAGATAGATAGATAGATAGATAGATAGATAGAAAAAAGAGTATTTATGTAGCAAATGATTACATATCTGTAATATAATACTGCTGAAGAGAGCTTATCTTCAGTTTGTTTTTTTCCCCCTGTTTCTTGAGATGGGTTCTTCATACTAGTCTCTTAGTCCAGCTCCTGGGCTCACACAGTCCTCTGCTTTCTGCATCAGTCTCCGACCTCAGTTCCTCAGTGCTGGGGTGATAGGAATACAGCTGACTTGCATTTCGATATTTAAAATGGAGTATTTTCCTTTCTTTCTTTTCTTTTCTTTTTTCTTTCTTTCTTTCTTTTTTTTTTTTCTCCAAGACAGGGTCTCACTGTGTAGCCTTGGCTGTTCTGTACTCCTGTTGTAGACAAGGCTGGCCTCAAACTCACAAATTCACCTGCCTTTGCTTCCTGAGTGTTGACATTAAAGGTGTGTGCTGCCACACCCAGCTTGAATATTTTCATTACAAATGTAGTACCAACCTGTGGCCGTTTTTCTAGATGTTTTCATTTGGTGGAATATATTTAAATTGATTTAAAATGCCAAATATCATCATGGATGAATTTTGTCAGAGGACCACCTCTAATCAAACATATGTGGGCACATGGAATTAGAAGTAGTTTCAGGTAGTTTATGGTGTCGTTATTAATAAAATATTTGAGGTGATGTTTTGACATTCATAGCATTGGTAATTGTTAAAAACAACTTATATTTGTATATTCTGACATTAGGCAGTTGCTTTGTGATATGTTTATTAGTTATTCATAACCAGGTAAATGACTCCCTTGCTAAGTGACATTCAGAAAAGTGAAAGCATTCCATTTGTTTACATAGTGATTGGTTTTTCGATTTTCAGAAAATGATGAAGGAATGTATGGTGAGACTTATATATTGTGAAATGCTTGGATATGATGCTTCTTTTGGTTATATACATGCAATCAAGTTGGCCCAACAAGGAAACCTCTTAGAAAAAAGAGTGGGTATGTATTTGTTTAAGACTTCTGTACTATTGTTTTTAAGATTTTAACCACTATATGAAACGATGGCTGGTATATGCTATGTTTTTAGAGCATTGGAATTCACACACACACATACACATATGCTGCATCCCAGTCTGAATTCCCAAAGCTAACACGTTAGAAGTACAAAGCCCAAACATAAAATCAGCTTTCTGCATATGAATCATTTTGGAGTTACAGGGCAGATTAAAAAGTACTTGATTGTGTGACAGTGAGATGCTACATACACATGTAAAACCCATTGAACTGTATATACAGGTGAGTTCTTGTATGTAAATTGTCCTTAGTAACTCTTGTTTTAAGAAGCCTACTCAATCCCATTAGTTTAATGATGACATAAGACAGTTAGTTGCTTTTTAAAAACAAAGTCTTACTGTGTAGCCCAGGTTGGCTTCAAACTTGCTACTCTCCTGCCTCTGCCTCTCAAGCTTGCTTGGCTAAGAATTGATTTTTTGTAAAATAAAAACTGAAACAAACTAGAATAATTTAAAATATACTGTTCTCACTTTCACAATGCTAGCTATAGTGATTAGACGTATTAAGACTTCTCTACAGTAATCCTTTAGGGTTTTTAGAATTCTTTCAAGACCTTGCATCTGTTTCCAGTGGTTTCAAGTTGTGTGAAAATCCTCAAAGGAGTCATTGGGGTAGTGTAGGGATGGAGCATAGTCTTTATGAATTTATTGATTGACTCAGGTGATGTGGGAGGGTAGATGATATGTATACAGCACTCTCATACTTAGCCCCATCCCACCCCAAATCCTCTTCTACCTCCTGGATTAATTGTAGGCTTTTTCCGAAGTACAGTGTTCTGTGCATCTTCCTGTCCATATTCCAAATTAAATTGAGCTCTTCTGAAATCACTCTGTGACTCCCATCTGGCACCTTATGGTGATATGTGTCTTTTCTTACTATATATTAATCTTTCTTCATATAGTAATGTTTTGGCTTTCAAACTAATTCAAGTTTTATACTCCTGTAAGTTTTTGTGTTGTTAAAAAAATCTTTATTAGTAATTTACTTTTAAATGATTTTATTTAAAGCTTCTATAATGCTGGGGTTTAATTCCAGTAGGCTTTCCCTGTTTTCAGACAGGACCTTCCTATGTATCTCAGGCTGGCTTTGCAAGCGTTTTGTTTCCCTTACAGAGTTGGGCCCACAGCCACGTGCTCAGTGGTCAAGCTTACCTTTAAAATTCTCTCCAGCAGGAGCTTCCTGTTTGTTTGTTTGTTCTTTTTGGAGATAGTTTCCTGTTAGTCCAGACTGGCCTCTAATTTATTATATAGCCACGGATGATCTTGAACTTCGATCTTCCTGCCTTCACGTCCCAAACAGTAGGATTAAACACCACCTCTCCTGACTTATGTGAACCTAGGCACCCGCCCTCCTGAGAGTTCTTATGTGTCTATAACTTTTTTAGTGAGGATTTTTGTTTAGCTTCTAAATGGTTATATTTGGAGTGTTTTTCTTGTTTTATTTGGCTTTGTTACTTAAGGTTTTGTTTGGTGTTCTTTCTTTTCCTTTGTTTTTGGGACAAGGTCTCACTATGTAGCCCCAGTTGGCCATGAGCTCACAGAGATCTAATTGCTTCTGCCTATAAAACTCTGGATTAATGGCGTGTGCTAACATGGCTGCCTGAAAAAAATTTTTTTTCAGGCTGGAGAGATGGCTCAGAGGTTAAGAACACTGGCTGTTCTACCAAAAATCCTGAGTTCAATTCCCAGCAACCACATGGGAATTATCACAACTATCTATAATGAGATCCGGTGTCCTTTTCTGCCCTCCAGGCACACATGCAGGCACTGTATAATTAATAAATAAATAAATCTTAAAATTTTTTTTCATTAGTGTTGAATATTATAGGAGAAGTAAAAAGCAGTTTCATCTTTTTCACTTGTAAAGAGATTTACTTTTAAGAGATTGTTAGATTTGAATGTATTTGAAATGTCTAGAATTCATTCCTGGGAGTTGACGGTGATGGTAGAATCCAGATTCAAGCAAAACTCTGATGTTTCTTTGCTTTCTTGCATATCTTTCTTCTCCTCTACCTTTTCATTTCTCACCTTCACTGTTTTTTTCCTTGCTAATATTTTTCAACATTGAGCTAATTTTCTTTATTTCCTTTGTATATTAACTTTTTTAGTTTAGAAAATAGTGATAGCCCTCTCTTTTGAGTATTTAAAACAATTTTAGTGTCTTTATTGTGTGTGAGTGTGCACATGCCACAACACATTTGTGGAGGTAAGAGTTGGTTCTCTTCCCACTGTGATGCTGAGGGCTAGCTATTTTGTTAAGAACTCAGAAAGCAGATCATAGTGGGTACCCATTGTATGCCATGCACTACAGTCACACACAGGTAGATAATGTACATTGCTTCATTTTGAGACTCTGCACCAATGGGGGAGGGGATAGAGGTTAGTAGTTTAATGTTAAAATTACTTGCCTGACCATGATTCATGTGTTGCTCTCATATGGTCCGGCCTAAGGGTGTCAGTGGAACTCCGTTTCCCTGGTGTCTGAGTCTGCATGGAGGCTGCGTATCAGATCACACGCGAGAGTTCTGTAGAACTTCTTTAAATATTATTTTGGTTTTTTTTTTTTTTTTTTTTTTTTTTTGAGACAGTTTCTCTGTGTAGCCTTGGCTGTCCTGGATTAGCTTTGTAGACCAGACTGGCCTTGAACTCACAGAGATCTGCCTGCCTCTGCCTCCCCGAGTGCTGGGAATACAGTCATGTACCACCGCACCCGGCGAACTTCTTTAAATATTGAAGGCTAGAACTTAGTTAGACTTAGCTTTGGTCCAGCCATTTCTGTCTTGGCTTCCTTTGGCATGGGACTTGAGCATGCTCTCTTGTTACTTAGCTGAATTCTGTGTTGGCATGGGGAGGAATTCTAGGAAACAATAGATGATTGAAAAAATACTGGTACACATGTCTTTTGTTCCAGCACTTAAGAGGCAGAGGCAGACAGATTTTTGTGAATTTGAGGCCAGCCTGGTTTGAGTAATGAATTCCAGAACAGAGAGGGCTATATAGAGACCCTGTCTCAAAAACAAACAAACTAAATACTGGATAACTGGTGGTTTTTTAATTTGCTTTTTATTGATGTGGAAAATCACTAACTGTATTATTTGGAGTTCTGTAGAGAAACAGCATTAATAGAATGAATATATATGTTCATTGGATTTGTTGGAGTGGCTTTCAGGCTGTGGTCTAGCTGGTCCAACAATGGCAGTCTCCTGACAGAAAGGCCAAGACTCTGGTAGGTGTTCAACCCACAACCCCAGTCTTCAGGCTGTGTTGGAATCCCAAAGAAGTAGTTTCAAATGTCATCAAAGTAATGCCTTAACAACAAGATTGATGAACTTGCCAGTGAGAGTGAGGGCAAGCAGGCAAAAAGCCAAAACGTCCTTCTTCAGTTTTGTTTTTTTTTTTTCTTTTAATGTGGGCCACTACCAGGAAGTGTGGCCCAGATTTAGGGTGAGTCTTCTCATCTCAGAGGCTCCAGTCAAGAAAATCCTTCATAGGTATGCCCAGCTACTCAGGTTTTAGTTGATTACAGATATAGTCAGGTTGACAACAAAGATTAGTTATCATACTAACCAGCAGCAACTTGGGGAATTTTGTGGGGTGTCAGTTTTTCCTCCTGGCTCCAAGCTCCTGGAATAAAGGCTCATGAGACTCAAAATATATTTACAAATATCTAGGCCTTTCTCTGACTAGCTCACAACCTAAAATAACCCATTTATACCAATCTACATCTGCAACATGGCTGGTTACCTGTCCTCAGGTACCTTGCTTTTGTCCTCACATCTTCCCAGACAAATCATGCCAAGCGTGGCCCTACCCTAAAATCCTTTCTGTTTATCAGATGTCCCACTTCCTATTCCCTGCCTTAACTATAGGTCATTAGCTCTTAATTGACAGGTGATGCTTCCATACAGACACAAGAGATTCCTTCTACAGGAGAGGAAAGGGTTTGTTTTAGCTTACAACTCCCAAGCAGTAGTCTATCACTGAGGAAAGTCAGGGCAGGAACTCAAGGCAGGAGCTGAAGCAGAGAATATGCTGCTTAATGGCTTGCTTCCCCTGCTTTCTTACAGTCCTCAGAATCAGCTGTGCAGGATGGCACTGCCCCAGTGGGCTGGGCCCTTCCACATCAATTATTAAGAAAATGCTCCCAGTCTGATGGAGATCTTTTCTCAGTTGATGTCCCTTTTCCCAGATGACTAGCCTTTGTCAAGCTGACAAAAAACAAAAAAAACAAAAAAACAAAAAACAAAAAAACAAAACAAAACAAAAAAAAAAACTCACCAGCATAGGTAGTGTGATTGCTTTGAATAGCTGTTGCTACATTTTGATTTTTAGACTTAACATAAATTGCAGTCAGTTTTACTTTTGTGTCATTTACTGCTCTCTGCTTCTTGCCTAAGGGTACAATATGATCAGCTGCCTCCAGCTTCTACCACTATGTTTTCTCTTCCATAATGACTTGCCCTCGGGTTGGGAGCCCAAACAAACCCTTCCTTGCTTCACTTTTTTCTTGTGTGTATGTTTTTGTTTGGTTTGGTTTTGGTTCTCACTCTGTAGAACTTGCTGTGTAGGCCTCACAGCTAGCCACCTGCCTCTGCCTCCTGAGTGTTGGGATTAAAGGTGTGCACACTCAGCTTTAAGTTACTTTATTGGCTATTTTGTCCCAAGCTTTCAATAGCTTTTAGAAAGGTTTATTTTATGTATATGAGTTTTGTGTGTGTGTGTGTGCGCGTGCTGTGTGCACACCTGGTGCAGGTGCAGGCTGGGAATTAAACCTGAAGCGTTGTGTGTGCCAGACAAGCACTCTGCCAAGCTGAGCTGTATCCCTCGCCCAGCACCTCATTCTTAGCCAGAGTAGACGGACTGTGCAGTCATGCTTAATTGTCCTTACGAGCATCTTTTTCTTCATTCTTTGTCAGAGCAGGATGTGTGTTGTAACAGAATTAAGGTTTATTTAATATGATCTTTGAATAGTCTTTTGACTTTGGTCTTGGTGGCTTGGGTGTGGATGAGTCCTCAATGAGAAGACTTAACTCTGCTGTAAGTGCTCCATGGCACAGTCAGCAGCTTTTTTTTTTTTTTTTTTTTTTTTTTCCTGTCTCGTAGGAATAATAGCTTTCTTCTTCTGTCATTGAAAAAATTGCGGTCAGTTTTGCTGGTCCTTTGTGGTTGTGAGCCTAGAAGGTTCTAAATGGTTTCCCATGTTGTACACTAGACACAGATGTATAGTTCCTGGGTAATGTGAAGAATAGCTAACATTAGTGTCTGTATTGAAAAGGCTAAAAGAGTTAAGAAGAATGAAGACAAAAGCTGGGTAATCAGGCCCAAGGTAGACAGTACATGGGCTCGGAGTCTGTTGAGTTTTGAGTCCTGGTTCCACCATGTAATAGCTATAGACTTTGGGATTTTAACCTCTCTTTTGATCTTATCATTATACTGGCATAGTAATCATACTTACATCATAGGGTTGTTTGGAGAACTAAATAGGCAAAGCTTATAGAGTTATTGTTATATAGTTACGAATATCAATGCCTCTATGAAGTGGTCAGAAATGGCATAAAGCACATGATTCCATGTTCATGGCATTTGTCATGATACCAATATATTCATTCCTAAGTTCTAAAACACAATTTTGAAATAGAAATGCTTGTTTAAGACAGTGAGTACATTTAATGTGGTAGACACGTGACTTTCTTCAACAGCTTTTACTTACTCAACACTGTCTTCAAATTGAGAAAATAAGATGTGAGTAACATGATTATATCAGATAGGCTGGTTTTAGATAGCTCGTACAATAATGTAAATCATCAATGGTTTGATGCTCACTTAATTAAGTTCTTTAATAATAATTGTCTGTTTGGCTCTAAGATAGAGAATATTTCTATTGATAATGCAAAGATTTGCACCAGCACTGCGTGTCATCCACAGGGCATTAATTTGGTGTGTATCTGGGAGAATCTGCAGTTCTGAGTATGCAGGATGAAGGACATCTGAAATCTTTAGTGAAGTTTGTTAACCATGAATTTTACATGTTGTTTTTGTTACCTCTAACTGATATGTTTCACACTTAAAACTTGGAATAGATATGGCTTTAACTTAATAGCAAAGGAATTTTGGGGGAGGTAGGTAGTAATGAAAACTTTTCCTTCATTTTTTAATAGGTTATTTGGCTGTTTCTTTATTTCTACATGAAAGTCATGAACTTTTGCTTCTCCTTGTGAATACAGTGGTGAAGGTACCGTATCCTATTCTATGCTGGTTTATATGCAATCTTATTTTTGCTGTCATGTGACATTTCTCTTTAGTCATAGTTACTTAAATAACTTAGAGAAGTGTAGGTTTACTTCAAAGTCACCTTAGAAAGTTTTTGGGTTTGGTTTTGTTTTTTTGTCTTTTTGTTTTTTGTTTTGTTTTGGTTTGGGTTTTCAAAACAGGGTTTCTCCGTATAGCTCTGGCTGTCCTAAAACTCGCTCTGTAGACAAGGCTGGTCTCAAACTCACAGAGATCCGCCTGCCTTTGTCTCCCAAGCGCTTGGATTAAAGGTGTGCACCACCACTGCCTAACTAAGATAGTTTATTTTTAAAAGCTTATTTTTTAAATTATATGATATGTAAGTGGGTATTAGTGTTAGTGTAGGTGCCTGTGGAGGTCAGAAGCTGGTGTCAGATCTCTTGGCGCTGTAGTTACGGCAGTTGTGGACTGCCTGGCATTGCCAGGCTATGCTGGGATTGAAACTCTAGTCCTCTTCAAAAACCACAAATGCTCTAACCATTCAGCTACCTCTTCAGTCTCCAGAGGGGTTCTTTGTGTTTTGTTTGTTTGTTAGTTTTATTTTGTTTTGTTTTTAAGGCTGGCTGGTTTGGAACTCATAGACCAGGCTGGCATCAGACTCACAAGGTCTGTCTACTGAGAGTGAGATTTAAAGTGTGCACTACTTGTCTGGCTGTTTATTTTTAAGACAAGGTCTCCTGTATACAAAGATTGGCCTGGAACTTCTGACCCTCCTGGCTCCCCCTCCTGAGTGAGGAGATTGCAGTGTGCACCATCACAACTAGTTTATGGCATTGTGGTGACTGAACTCAGGGCATTGTGCATGCTAGACAAGCACTCTACCGATAGAACTACATCCCCAGCTCTCTAATTATTCTTAACTCGTGTGTGTGCATGCACACATGTGTGTGTTTGTGTTTTTGTGCGTGTGTGTGTGTGTACATGTATGTTATAAGGACCTTTTCTGTTTCTCCCTTATCCTTCTTTCTGAAACAGAATCTCATGTATTTCAGACTAGCCTCAAATTCATAACCAAAGATGACATTGAACTCCTGATCCTCCTGCTTGTATCTCCCCAGTGCTAGGAATATGGGTACACACTGCCTGACTTACAGTGTTTTCATACAAGTGTATATTGTGTGTATGCTGAGCATGAAAGTGTTTATCAGTCTAAGGGTTTTTTGGTAGAGTCTTAAGGTTTTATTATGGATAGAATCATATCTGTAAATAAGAGCACTTGGATTTCTTCCTTTTGTGTTTGTATCCTTACTTCCTATTCTTGTTCTATCGTTTTGAGTTTTTCCACGCTTAGTATAATACGTAAGTTTTGTCACATATAGCCTTTATTGTATTCTTTCTATTCCTAGTCTCTTTGAGACTTTTATCGCAAAGAGATGTTGGATTTTGTCAGAATCCTTCTTTGTATTTAGAAGATCATGTGATTTCTGCATTGTGTCTGTTCATGTGATGTATTAGTGTTACTTTTCATATGTTGACCCTTCCTGCACCTCTGGAGTGAAACTGACTTGACCGTGGTGCATGGCCTTTTGATTTGCTTTTGAATTTGGTATGTTAAGTTCTGTTTGTTTGTTTCTAGACAGGGTCTCGCCATGTTTCCCTGGTTAGCCTGGTCACTGAGTTCTGTCTGCATTGCCTTCCTGAGTGCTGGCATTGAAGGTGTGCCCTGCCACACCTGGCAGTTTGCAAGTGTTTTATTGAGAATTTTGATATCTCATTGATATCTGTGTTCATCAGAGGAATTAGTCTTTTTGTTTCCTGAGTATGTTTCATAAAGAGTGTTTGGTGGCATCCCTTCCTTTTCTCTTTTATAGAATAATTTCAGAAAGCTTGGTGTTACCTAGTCATTAAAGTTCTGGTAGCATTTATCTGCTTTGTGAATCCTTCAGGTCTTGGATGTTTTTTTAATTGGGAAATTTTATTTATTACTACTTCATCCTGCTGTTTGTTGTAGCTATATTAAATTATTTCATCTTGGTTTGATTTTGGTAGGTCATATGGATCTAGAAATTAATTTATTTTAGATTTCCCAATCTAGTGTTATACAAGTTTTTAAAACATGTTCTATTCTGAATTTGTTGTTATCTGTTGAAATGTCTCCCTTTTCATCTTTAATTTTATTAATTTGGGGCTGCCTTCTCTTCGCTTGTTCTGCCCAAGAGTTGACCTCATTTATCCTTTCAAAGAACCAGATGTTCATTGATTCTTTTATTTTCCTTGTGTCTGTCTTATTCATTTCTGCTCTAATCTAATTTTTTCCACCTACTAGTTTTATATATGACTGTTCTTGTTTACTGAAGCTGTAGGTATACATTTTTATATTATTTATTTGCATTTTCTCTGATATAAAAATTAAATCCAATTTTATTATATTATTGTTATTGTTATTATTATTATTATTATTATTATTATTATTATTATTATTATTATT